TAGTAGCTACATCGTGTTTCACATTTTAATCCCATAAGGATTGTACTAACAACTTTTTATATATGTTAAAATCTCTTGAAGTCTGCTGTTTTCTTTTCGATCTATTCATAGACTTTGACTAATTCTTAAGCCTTTGTTTTCTATTTCATGTATTTTGACTACAGCTTCGGATGGAGCAAAAAAACACCTGATCATGGTTTCCATAAACAATCCATAAGAAATACCATCTTAAGAAGAAAAAAAATGTCGTCTTTGACATCATGTAGTAGCAACTATATTCCTTCCTACTTTCTAACGTTAGTCAGTACTCGTTAATAAAGTAATTGTCTAATAGGAGTTCACTTTTATTTTCTAAAGAATCTTTAGTTGTAAAGATTTAGTCATTATTCATGCAATGATTAATGAAATTTAAGGAAGGAGTTAATATTGGTCGGAAGTAATTCTTTTCTTCATATTCTCAGGACACCCACGACAAAAAAAATAAATCAGCGTGGGTGTGTGTACAATTATCAGTTCCATTACATTAAGAGCTATACACATGAAGTAAAAATATCATGAAACGATGTAGCTAATACTTTAGTATCAAATTTCTATTTTACACATTATCAATCATATTTTTGAGACTTACGAGATTATCTGTGGAATTAATAAAAGACAATCCGAGTGAAAATATTTCTCTAAATTTGAAGAAAAAAAAAAAGAATAATTAATTTTTTTTACCAAATTCCTAATATAAAACAGTACGTGTTTTTTTCTTGTTGATCTATATCTTACTTTTTAATATTTACTCTCTTGAAAATACGTACAAAAATCTCATGATATTACATAGATGTTTTTTTTTCCGTTATGTAAACGAGTCGTATAGAAAAATGCAAATTTATTCTCCATTAGTTTCATTCCTTAAATGTTCTTTCATAATAAATAATGTAAAGATGTAATCATATTACATTATCAACAAACTTATTCAATCGTATAACTATTAAATAAAATAAACAATGTTTCGTTAAAATTATTCAATTTTTTAAAATTTTGATATTATTACAATAAATTCCTTTTTTATGTTTTCTTTCTTAAATATACAATTACTATTTATTTAATATAAGATTAAATATCAAAATAATTTGTATATTAGTCGAAAAAGTTTCGCATAACAAATTAAGTAATCAAAAATCATACATTTTCAATAATATCAATCTTAATATCAAACAAAAGTCATGACTTGAAAATTTGAGTCACAAAAAAATGAATATTGGTATTTTCCGCAAGTCTAAGACGAAAAGAAAAATAATCAATATTTTTTTTCTTCTTCTTTCTTCGAATGATGACGATTTGCGAAGGTGGCTTTTGATGCAACTCATGTATTCCTCGATTATCATTATGCTTTTTTTTCCAACAATTATAAGGCATATATCTTGGCTTCCAATTTTGAATGTCACGAAAGCTGGGTCTATATAAGTGAATGAATATGTGCAAATTATTTCAGCAGTTAATATATGAGTTTGAAGTCTATCGACTAGATAAAACAAATCTAGACAAATTTTTCTTTACATACGGTTTATAATTGAATAATATATATTCAAGATGTTTGAACCTGAAAAATACGATAGTATGAATTATTAATACGTTTAATTGATTGTTCATTTTTTATTTTATTTTAGCAATTGCAACAGATTTATTCCAGAATCCTAGTGTTCAGGTATGTAGTTTACATTTTTATTTATAATAATAAACGTGATGTTTGTAGAGTATTGATACAGCTGGTCTTGTCTATGAAGTGAATAACGGTGGTAGTGCATGTAATCCGACATCAAATTAAAGAAATTGTCCCCATGCTTTTTTTGGTTTAATGCATTTAAATTATACATAGAACATACTCGGTAAATCAAGCCGATAATGTCAGAATCGTGTATATAAATAATAAAAATGAACTGAATGCAACTATAAAATGATTGCATATTAGTTATGATTTTGTGCTTCATATTTTGTTTTTGCTACTTTTGAAAATACTTGTATGTTATGAGTATATGCTTATTTTAATTGGGATTATTATTTAAAATAAATATTTAAAAACAATACTTCAAACATTCTCTTGTTAATCGTGACATTCAAGAAAGAGGAACAGGTAATAGTGGTTAAAGACATAACTTGACAAATTTACGCATAGAACGGTTAAAAATAAATACTTGAAGGAAGATGTATATATATCCACTTGAATATTTATCTAATAATATCAATGATGTTAATTATTGATGCATAGAAAAAAATATTAGATTTAGTTAACAGAGTAAAAATGAAGATTTACGTGTTAAATAGATGAATATTTTTGAAAGAATTAAACTAATCGATGTTACATGTGATATTTACTTTTTTATTTTATGGGTTGGAAAAGAAGCAATGGGTGTCTCGTAAAGTACATTCAAAATTTTCAACTTGTTAATCTGTCTACAGCAAAAGGTTACATGAATGTCTTACATTTATTTTGATTTATATAATTTAGACTTGTTCTAGATTGTTCTAACAAGAAGAAAAAAACAATCATATGAAAGTATACAATACAAATAACTAACATTTCATAAGCAAATAGTTTTTTCTTAATGAAAAAACATGTTCGCATTAATTAATTCATACAAGAAAAAGATATATCAAATGAGTATTCATTGTAATATTACGATTTTTCATGTATTTATTTTGTGAAAAACGATCTAAAACGTGTGTTAAAACATATGGATAGACGTTGTTGATATATGTATCACAAATAGTATATCAATATCTTATTGCTGTAATATAGACACTAATTCCTTATTGAATTTCTTCAAGATTAAGTAAAAGTGATGCTGAAAAAAAGGTGTCCAAACAGACAGAATAAAACCATCTTCCTGTGATTAACAAAGGCAACTATATCGTGTTTCACATTTTAATCCTGTAAGGATTGTGCTAAGAACTTTCATAAGTACAAAATATAACCTTTTTTTATCAAAAGGTTATATTGAGGTTTTTAAGATGATCAAATAACGTTTTGAATACAAAATAATAGCTAAATCAATCATTTCATTTTTTTAAATTATAAATCCGTTAATCAACATATTCATTTTAACAAACATTATCTTTTGGTTTTTTCTACAAAAAAAAAATGCTTATGCGGTGATAAAGCTTTACGTTCATTTTGCAATATAAAATGATTAAATTTTTCATTTTATTTTGTTAATTGTACTATAATGAAAAGAATATTTCTATAGAAATTTTTGCATTTTTTAAAATTCTTTATATTTAAAACGGCAACTAACACACTTATAGTTTTATTCGATCGATTTAATAATCCAATCACTAGATAACTTATTCGTCTGAATTTGAATATATTTTTCAAAATATCTATGAAATCAAATCAATATTCAATCAATTGGAGATTGACCTAATTCTACTTTTTTTTTTTCAAAATAAACTTCGTACTTAAGAATAATAATCAAGTTCAAAGTCCATTTTTTTTATTCTACGACAAACGATTATTATCCTCGAAAAGTCAAAAAAACGCAATAACTAAAACATAGATATTGGTATGTTATTAAGCAATATGATTACATCTATATTCTATTTTTATTCCATGTACTTCTTAATATCATGTAGTCGACAAATGTCCTTTCATAATGTAAAAGAAAAAAAAAATATTCAGTTGGAAAAAAAATTCGTATTTATCTTGGAAGCCTTACCTATACTTTATGATATTTGCAAATACTAATAACGTTAGTTGTCGAACTCAATTACAGGAGATAAAACCACTTTTGTTAATCTACGATTCTTAACCGTGATAAGAAGCCACAAATTTCCAACTTATAGTTACATACATATATATTGATTGCTTTTATTTTTAGTGATTGATTGTGACGTTCTATGAGACCTATTTAGTCGAAAATATATTGAGTCATGAATAATCAATTATTTTTTCTTATCGATGAATACTATTGACAATAGTACACGTTATTAATGTATCGAATTTCAATAATCACGATATGTAAAAAAAAGTAAATCAGTGTGTCAGATTATTTTTTTTCTCATCGAATCCATGTTGTGCATGATATTCTTCGAAGAGAACCATTTTTCTTTTCATTTCCAAGAACATATACGACATAATATCATGATATTAACAGAAATAATCTTTTTTTTTTCTATTTCTTCGATTTTTGAAAATCATGTCAATTCAAACTATATAAACTGATAGATATTCAACATTAAATTACAAACTACTGATACAGATATTCATCTAAATCTATATACATTATCGTTAGCAAAATGTTTAATCCATGGAATTGTGATGGTAAATGAATTTAATTTTTAAATGAAATTAATTAAAAGTTTTTCAAATTTAGATGATGCAGCTAAGATGTGTGGCGAGACCAATACACAAGTAAATAAATATAGGATTTTAATTTATCTTTATAATATAATAAGTCAATTTTTATTTTATTTCGATAGACTAGTGATATCATCGGCTTAGCATTTACATCGAATACTAATGATTGTCAAACGCATTCACATTAAAATCAAAGTTGATATCAGTAAGAACATACTTAATCAAAAATCATATATGCTTTGCATTGGTGGTTAAATGATTATAATCGATGTATAGAGAAGCGAACAAAATGACGTGATGGGTGTATTTAGTGCTACCCGATGTTTTTTTTGTATATTCATATGGCATGTATATATGTCATTTTTTTTTTATGTAACAAAAAAATGTTGTTAAGATGTTTTTATGATAGTTTGTCTTCTATATTCTATTTATTTTAAGAATTAAAAAAAAGTCATCAAATAAAGTTAAAGTGAAAAATCTAAATTATTTTGCTTAGAATCAATGATAAATTTGCATAAAACAAAGTATTGCGTGTACTAAATGTTAAAAAGCCAAAAGAAATATAATCACTGGGGCAAAATAAAAAGAAGCAATACTACTACTTTTTTTATATTAGAAGATTAAGATATATATATATATTAAGTAAAGAATTTATTTAAAATACATTATTTGACAGCCAGTCAATATCAAATGAAGCTATTTGTTCGTTGTTCGTAATAAGATGAGTACATGTTTCATCAACATTATCCAATGCAAATAATAATTCTAAATAAATATTTAAAAATATAATTTTCATTGAAAACAAAACACTAAAGAATCTTATTAGATTTTTTTCTTTTGATGCTTAAAGAATAGATTATTAAAATTTAGATAAGTCTCTGAATTTAATGTTTAAACTTAAAATCAAACTTAATGTATTGCTTTGAATATAACAAAGCATTAAGTCTTGTTAATATTTCTTTTTTTTTTTTTTCGTGTATATTAAATTATGATTCATTGTTTAGAGTTCTATTTGAGAATAATAGAATTATTCAATTCAAAAGAAAAATGATTTAATCTGAATAGTTTAAGTTTCTAATAATTATTTATTATTCTTTCTTTACCATCAAGTGTCCATGGAACATTATCAATTGTATGTGTTTCTGTAATTTCATTGAATTTATTAATAATTTCTTCAGAATTTTCTATTTGTAATAAATGAAGTAACTGAATAATTCTATAAACAAAAGAGAAAATATTTTATTTAAAAGAAAAAACTGAAACATCTTTTTTTTTCTCTTCCTACTGTTCTTGTGTAATTATTTCATCATGATTTATATCAAATATGTCAAACCATCGTTGAATACCATTTATGGAATAATATCCATTACTAACAATTGGTAAGAAAACATCTCGAAATTCGATCCAATTTATGAATGAATCTAAATAAATTGATTTTATGGAAAATAAATTAAAGAATTTTCTTTCAAAACCTGTATTTTGCTTTTTATTAAGATATAATTCAATAAATAATTGTAAATCATCATTTGATATATTTATATTATTATTAATAAATTCATTTGTTATTTGTATTGATAAATTTTTAATATTACTATCCAATAGTTTACTATCAGAATTCGCCCCTACATTTTTGAATATTCTACCAAGTACTACAAAACAAAAAAAAAAAAAAACGTCGAATTTTTAATAAATCAAAGAAAATTTTATCTTACAAGATATTTCTTTGCTAAATTTATCAGTAGTTTCAGTTGGAAAATTTATAGTTGGTACTTCTAATGATATTGTTTGATTATCTATTGGAGTTTGATTAAACCATTGTTTATTTTCAGTTTCTTCTGATAAAACATGTTCATTAATATCATCTGTTTTTTTAATTGCTTCAATTAATTCTAAACAAAAATTAAAATTGAAAAACAAAAACAATTTCCTATTTTTCTTACCATCAACACTTAATTTTCCATCATGATCTGTATCATATTCATCGATAATATTCTGTGCAAGACTAATAGTATTATTAGCTTGAAGAATTTCAAGTAATCCTACGAAGAAAATTATGTTTTATTTTAAAGGCGAAGAACAAAAACAAATATGATTTTCTTTTTACCGGATATTTCGTGTAATGATAAATAACCATTTTTATTTGTATCAAATAAATCAAATAATTTTCGAATATGTCGTTCCGTATAACGACCAGTTATTATAGGAAAAAGAATATCACGAAATTCAATCCAATCAAGTGTTTTAGGACGATCTTATTGTAAGAAAAAAAAAGAAAAGAATTATTAAAATTTATTCATACAAAAAAATATTCAATTAATTTTTTTAATTTACTCTCTTGAGCAGCTGATTGTACGAGATATTTTCTAAGTAAACCATCGAATAATGTTCGTATAAGATGATCATGAAATTCCAGACGATCAAGTAATCTATCTGGTAAATCATTATTTATTTCTACTAAATCTTCATCATTTGCTAATTCATGAAATACATAACGAAGATCTGTAATAAAAGTAATAAATTAATATATAAAATATCAAACATATATATTTATTTCGCAATATAGAAGATCATAATTTAATAGTTAATAAGAAACGAATGGGAATAGGTTTTTTTTTTCTTTACAAACTGAAGTTACTCTGGTGCTCATTTTAGTTAAATGAACACTGACAAGAAATTGTTCAGACATTTTTACTCATTAGGTGATCGATATGACAAAATTGAGTACAAATATTCCCGCAGGGTGTGGATATTCACTTTGTATTTGATTTATTGACACTCCAATTCTCCCTACGTACACATGTTTGCATCTATATGAGTGATGAAGAGACGAGGAAAGTCAATCAAGTGTATCGGTTATGAAAACAAAGAAGAGTCAAGTATATAAAAAATAGGAAATTACGAGTCTACATTTTTTCAACCTGGCCTCGAATCTGGTGGCGTTCAGATTCGATTTTTTTACCAATATCTGGCACTTTCTGTGTATATGAATAAGTAAAAGGTCAAGGTGTTAGCAATCTATTGACTATCCTCAGAAACAAATGAATGTATGATTATTTATTGTTACTTATTTTCCTGTCATTCGATGCTTAATAAATTAAAAATTTCTTTTTCTTACGAGAGAATTTCTTCAGCTGTCCTCTTCTGATTTTAGCGACTTTTTTGTCAATAGATACTATACATTGTTCTAATAAAAATCCAAAAAGAATTTCGGTTCCTATCGATATTGTACTAAGCTATCGAATTTTAAATATACCTATTTTCTAGAAGCACCAGGTTTTCAGAATACTCGAATTTTCGAATTATGATCTGAACTTTTACACGTATAAAGAACTCAACTAGACTAACTTTCATGAAAAAATTCATAAGTTTTGAACAAAGTCTGATCGAGATATGAAGCTTTCAAAAAATCCATGTTTTATACACTATCCTTAGAAGAAAGTCTATATTTGAAAATTTCCTATTTCGAAAGACTTTGTTCAAAACTTCTGAATGGTTTTATGAAAGCTAGTCCAGTTGAGTTCTTTATATATTTAGAGTTTCATACCGAGATTCCAAAAGACGAGTTTTCCGAGAATCTGCTGCTTCTAGAAAATACACATATTAAAAATTCGATAGCTTAGTCATATTTCAATAGGAATCCAAAACTTTTCAAATCTTTATTAGAACACATTGTAGTGTCTAGACACAAAAAAATTACTGAAATCGGAAGGGGAACAGTTGAAGAGATCCCATCGTTACTTGAAAAAGAATATATTATATGCAATGAAAGGAGCTTCGGGTTCACGTTTTTGTGGACCCGTAGCTCCGTAACGCTGAATTGTCAAACGTGAACAAAATAATTACAAGGTGGATAACACGAACGACTCAACTGTTTACACACACATATTTTAATGTTATAAGCCAATAAGAAAAGTTTTAACTGGAAATTCCATGAGTGCCTATTATTAACAAAGTTTAGTCCGTTTCACTAACCTTGCATAATAACCATTAAACTTGGATCATCATCATCATCGGATGTTATTTCAACTTTTTGAGAAGTTGGTAAATCAACTTCTAAAATAAAAGAATAAAAAAATTTTATACAAAATTAAAATAAATAACAAGCTCGAACTTCATTTTCTATCAATTATAATCACCTTGAATATCAGATAATGTATTACTTGATGATTGTTTGTGCTTATATTGTGATAGTGAAGAATTACTTTCATCTATATTATCATTTTTGTGATCGTCAGTGATTATTGTTGAAGAGAAATAGTCAGTGGTATAATTCTCCTGTGTTGGATTTGTAAGAGAAGAACTTATTTCTTCTTCTCTTTGCATTTCTTCAGATATATCGTCTTGTTTTAATTCTAATTTATTATCGTTATCCAATAATATATTTTTATCTACTTGTGAAGGACTTTGTTGCCTTTCATCTTGTTGAATATTACTTAATGTCAACAATAATGATTGTGATTCATTTATTTTCGTATCAAGAGAAGTTTCAAATTCTTCTATGGCTGATGATTCGATATGATGTCTTGATTGATCACGTTCATTAGTTGCACCACTTTCATCAATAACATTTTGGATTGATTCTTCATGCTCAAGATTATCGTCAAATTCATCAAATGGCTTGCTTAGTTGGTTTTCGATATTATATTCACTTTCTGAATGAAATATAATAGTTTAAGTGATAGTTGAGAGATCATAGTGAAAATTTTTCAAGCAAATTACAAACTAAATTAGCTTTATTTTTATAGTGTTGTCACCGTAGTTCTAAAGGCCTATTCTATTGACATCAACTGAAAGGTAAAAATTTATATTTCGAAAGACATTGATCTATTGATTTTCAACTTTTTCGATATGATTTTCAGAAGCCGAAGAAAAAATTTTGAATACTGAAAAGTCGTCAACTCACCTGATAATGCTGCTGTTTGATAATCATCGGCACCTATTGGTGCAACATTTTCCTGGTTATCACTACGTGTTTTAGGAGCATCATCCAGTGGAGGAAATGTCTGAATTTCCGATGATACTTCATGTTCTTCTAGAGGTATCGAAAGTGGTTCATGTAGATCAAAGGCTAATTGTTTATATTCTATTGTTGGTGGTGTAGTAGGTGAAGGAGGCGATCGTTGAATATCAAATGGTATTGTTGAAGTATCTGAAGAAGCGTGCCATGATGTTTGATGTTCATGCGGAGGCGTTGAAGGGAATTCTTGCACATCAGAAGCTAATTGCTGATTCTCTGTAGCTGTTGCACTAGTAGCCGAAGAAGAAAATTCTTGAATATCAGATGGTATTGTTGCAGCATCTGAAGAAGCCCGTAACGATGATTGATAGTCTTGAGGAAATGCTGATGATGGTTCATGCAGATCAGTAACTAATTGTTGATATTCTGTTGTTATTGGTGGTGTAGTAGGCGAAGGAGATGATCTCTGAATATCAGATGGTATTATTGAAACATCTGAAGAAACGTGCCATGACGGTTGCTGCTCATGTAGAGGTGTTGATGATGGCTCATGCACATCAGAGGTTAATTGTTGATGTTCTGTTATTGTTGTTGGTGGTGTAGTAGGCGAAGAAGATGATCTCTGAATATCAGATGTTATTATTGAAGCATCTGAAGAAACGTGCCCTGACGGTTGCTGCTCATGTAGAGGTGTTGATGATGGCTCATGCACATCAGAGGTTAATTGTTGATATTCTATTATTGTTGTTGGTGGTGTAGTAGGCGAATGAGATAATGTTTGAATATCAGCTGGTATTGCTGAAACATCTGAAGAAACGTGCCCTGATGGTTCCTGCTCATGTTGAGATGTTGATGATGGCTCATGCACATCAGAGGTTAATTGTTGATATTCTGTTATTGTTGTTGGTGGTGTAGTAGGCGAAGAAGATGATCTCTGAATATCAGATGTTATTATTGAAGCATCTGAAGAAACGTGCCATGATGGTTGCTGCTCATGTATAGGTGTTGATGGTGGCTCATGCACAACAGAAGCTGATTGTTGATATTCTGTTGTTGGTGGTGGTGGTGTAGTAGGTGAAGAAGGCGATTTTTGAATATCAGATGTTATTGCTTGAGCTTCTGAAGAAGTACGTGATAATGATTGCGGTACTTCAGATATAGTTTGATAATCTTCTGGAGGAGTCGAAGGGAATTGAGAAACTTTTTCGAAAGCTATTTGTTCTTCCTGAAGCGTTGGAGCGGTCGATAAAGTTGGAGATTTTTGAATTTCAGAAAATGTTTGAGATTCTTGTGGAGATATTAAAGGTGATTGGCAAACTTCAAATAAAACTGGAGCAATTTCGGTCGGTAATGGTTCTTGATTTGTTGATGGAACCGTTGGTAATGATCGAAGTTCGCTTGGTGTAGCGGATAATTGTTGAGCTGGAGAAAATACTGATTGATCTTCTCGTATGACTGGAGGGGTAGATGAAGTAGAAGACTTGCGTGTTTCTGAACTTGCCGAAAAGGTACAAGATGATGATTGTTGAACTTCAAATGATGGAACTAATTGATCTTCTGTAAGAATAACAGCCGAAGTTGAACTTGAAGATTTTTCAATATCTTGTGAGATAATATTGACATTAATTCTATCTCGTTCTTGATCAAATGGTTCAATCACTGGTTGCCATAAAATTTCTTGAACTACAATTTTTTCATTCTTGGATGAAGTTTTTGTTGATAAAACATTATCAATTTGAATATCTGTATCTTCTCCAAGTGTATCATACTCCGATTGGACTCTATCACGATTTGTTACAATCTTTGAAAAAGAAAAGAATTCAAATTTAAATTAAAAGTAAACTTTATTATACCTCCTCTTGTTGATCATTAAATTTACTTTGATTTGTACTACTTGTCAACAATGTTCTTCTATCTATATAAACCAATATTTTTTCAATTAAAAAAAATCAACAAATGTGGCTCAATTTATTTTATTGAATAACACTTATCATCTAATTCATTTTTTTTTAATCTTTGTCCTTCGAATTGAACAAATACAGAAGTCTCACATATGTCCGTGTCAAATTGCATTTTAAATGCAAATAAATGTGTTCTACACGTAAATGCAATAGACATATGATATACAATAGATGAAACGAAAAAAAAGAAAATCGAAGCGATGATTATTACAAAATTTGTGAAAATCAACTATTTATTCAAATGATGAAAGTTAATTAGGTTGAGTGCTTCTGTATTTATTTAGTTGTATATATGTTCTCACCTGTCATCAAATTATTATTGGCTTGTAATGTTGTTGGTCTTCTTAAATAAGAAGTATTAATTGATGATTGTTGCTCTGTTTGTTTTCGTCTATATTCACTTTCTAAAACTCCTCGATAAAGTGTTAATTCAAATTTTAAATTTCGATCATATTCTGCTAATTGATTTAATTTTTCTTTTAATGTTTGTAATTCAATTTTAGTACGTTCGATTTCATTATCTTTAGACGTTAATTGTTGTATACGTTCATCACGTAATGAATAGAAATCGACTTCCTATGATAAATTTTTGTTTAATTAAAAATAAAACATAAGCATTATTCAACATACCATAGCAAGAACTTGTTTTGATAATATTAGATTATGATTATTAAGTGTTGTCAAATCTTGTAAAACATGTTGATATTCTTCTTGAAGTCGTTCATGTTCGGCTTGACTTGTACGTTGATGAGATGTTGTAAGTTCATCAATTTCTTGATTAGTTGTGAAATGTTCTTCAAGTATTTGTAACATTTGTTTATATTCATTTTCAATTTGTTTTAATTGTACTTTATTGAGTTGATCGAAATCTTCACGTATACGAACTATGGATTCATCTAAACGGGATAATAAATATTCATTAGCTTCATTTTCTGTTGCTATAATTGTTTCACGTTCGTCATCAAGAAAATCTTTTGCTGTTTGCATTAATTTAACTTCTTCTTTTAATGTTTGAATTTCAAACTAAATTAAAAATTTCAGAAAAAAAAAATAATGAAAATCTTTTATTTTGTTTTTCTTTTACTTCAGTTTTCGATCGTTCAACACATATCTGTTCGAGTTGTAATTGTAAACTATCAACTTTATTCATGGCTTTTTGATGAATTTGCTTTTCATTTTCAACATAAGTTAAACAATTTTGTAGTTGTTCGTTTAACTTAAGAAATTCATTGCGAACGGACCGTTCTTTTTTTTGTAAAATGTTCAAACGTTTAATTTGTTCTTTTTCATTAGCAGCAATAAAATTAATTCGTCGTTTAAATTCTTCACGTTCATTAACAATACGTCTTGCACGTGATTTGAATTTATAACGATCAATATGAACTTCAGTTAATTGTTGACTTATTTGACGAAAATCATTTAATAAATGTTTTAAATAATTTTCTAATGTTGAAATATAATTTGTACGTATTTGATGAATATTTTCTTGTAAATGACGATTATTATCATCAATTGTTTTTATATCACCTAAATATGTTTGAAGACTTGCATTAAGATTACGAAATTCTTCTCGTTGTGAATTATATGAAATACGAGATTGTTCAGCTCGAGAAACAATATCATCAATTAATTGGTCTTCGAATAAATTAAACATTTGTTTGATAAATAATAACGAAGAGAAAATAAAAATCTAAAAGAAGAAGAATACGATGAAACTGCATAAATAAATTGTTGAATAATGATTTGGTTTTTTTTTTCTAGTTGGAACAAAATCTATTGAAATTTAAGATTGTGACTACTCTGGGTTGTGATTCTTCTAGTTCTTTCTCTCTCCCTCTTTACACTCTGGTAAGTATACAGAGGAAAAAAAGAAAACGTCAAAGGTATCGCTTTCTTTCTCCTTGATATACGAACTCAAAAACAGGACAATGAACTTACAGATAATTTTTTAACATATAGATCATTGATTATTTTCTTACTGTCAAATATATCAATACTTAATTGACACTGGCCAAATGATTGATCTTGAGTATTAGTTTTAACAATCTATAGTAATAAAGTCTTTTATGTCAACTTAATTATATAGGTTTCAAGAACGAAGAGAAAAAAGAAAATATTGACTGTAATGAATTGTTTGTCGCTCTATATCCAGTTTAGTATCGTTTGATGTAGCTATTAGAAAAAAAAAAAGATCAAATTTTATATATTATTTTATAAGCAAACTAATGAGATAAAAATCAAAACGATATAATAGAAAATAAATCTGTACGATTAATTTTTATCGTATCTCGCTGCAAACAATAATATATATATAAGATGATTATTAATATGCAAATGGAAACCAGATCATAAAACTTTTACCATACAGTTCTTTTTATATACTAGGATTAACATAATATGTAACCAACAATCAATATTTTTATAGTATTGTATCTTAAAACTAAACTCTACTTGCTTTTCTTATGACGTACTCTTTTTTTATATTGTAAAAAAGAGAGGAAACAAGGTCATTTTTCTCTTTTTTTTTTTTTTTGTTATTTTTTCTTCTTGTTCAGCCTGTTGTAGTAGAATAAATAAAGACCATAATATTACCAATAGCATCAGAAGCCGATTTTCAAATGGTAACACCCACGTATAATTTATATCCATTACATGGCATATAGGCCATTATATACATATATAAGTAGGCCTAGTAGTGTTCGTCATCGTAACCGATAATGACGTTGATCACAATAGAAATAGCCTTACATCAATAGGTAATATATCCTAAAGAAATATGCATTTAGTTGTCTTTCTCTTCATTATATGTTACCTATATTTTACTGTCGTGTCCATATTCATATATGCATGCATACATATGGACATTCGTGATGTTTAATAAATTTAAAAGTCAAACATTATGAAAGCAAATAATAAACAGACATATTGTCATTTTCACGTCAAGGTAAAACAATAAAAATAGGTACATGGAATTCAACGGAGTTGATATTCGAGACAAAATCAACTTTTTAAATGAATACTAATAATCAGTATCATTTAACAGTGAATTACTAAGACTAAATGAGATATTTGTCAATGATAAAAGTAAGACTTCGTACATCGTCATATTATCTATTTGATATTCATTGAAGCAAAAGAATTCGTATGAAATTTCTATGTAAGAAAAATCTCTAAATTATTCAATGATATTTCACATATATTTAAACCAATGGTAATAATATTTTTATCATGAAGGTACGAAACATTTTGTTATTCTATTTAATATGAATATATTTTCGTATGATAATATGATTGCATATTAATATGTAGCTGAAAATAAATATGTATTATAAATTGAAATATATATTCTCATTTTTCTTTTCATATAATGTGATACATTACTAAAAAAATGTCATATTGATTGAATAGAGACTTTATCGATCGTTGATTTGATGTTAAAGAAAAAGCTTCAATGCACAGAAAAAAAAAACGAACTCATTTGTAAACAGTAGAGACATCCTTGAATCATTGGATCATTTTTTAGTTATAAAAACTGAAACCTATGAAAGTCTTTTTGAATATATCATTAGTATTGATTTACTTCTACATGTCAACGGCAAAGAATTATATCACACACACAATCACATATGTATCTCGGATCAAAATAAACAGAGCACATAATTTTTTCGATTAATTCTTTGCATTGTTATTGTCTGGTATAAAATCTATGCAACAGCTTATACAGATTTTTTACTCTATTTATCCTTAGTTTCAATCACTAAAGATAAGAATGTTGCAATTGTATTTAATCTATTCGAATTTCGTTTCCATGCTGGTTTTAACAAGGTTTTTTAAATACGATTTCTGTTCCGTGATGATCCACTACCATATAAAAATTCGCTGCGCTAAGTCTTATGAAGATGTCAGATTTCAGTTTTACAACAATCTGAACTTAGAATGTTCAGTTGCAATATTCAGGCTCTGGCTTTTTTTTTAACCGAAATTTTGAGAGTCTTATCATTCTAAGGTCAGATTGCTGTGAGACTGGAATCTGGCATAGTCATGAAATTCAGCATAGCAAAGCACTCTGTCAGGATCTAATTTCCAATGTCTGAAAGTCGTTTGATCGATTTCAAGTTTCCACAAGACAAAGATATATTTTCCGAAGAATTAGAGTTACAAAACCGATCGTTCGATATTCATAGACCGTCAACTTTGTCGTCATTTGACGATAATGTACAGAATTAATAAAAGAACCTAGGTGCTCCCTTCATTTTGATCAAGCAGGATACATATATATACTAAATTCATATTTTTCTATCATTTCTTTTAACAAATATATGACTATTCTTTCTATCTTTCTTTCTTCGCCATAATGAGTCTTAGACATAAGTCAGACATGCTTTCAAAATAAACAGGAAACTTTCTCAGTGTTAGTAAGTCTCAAAAGTCTGTTGTTTCCAGTGACTGACTTTTTTTAAAGATGTTTTAATCTCTATGTTATATAATCGTTTGTTCTAGGGAAACAGGAATAAACAAAACTCTTTTTGTTCTTATATTCTTTCAAACAGATTAGAGGATGTTAGATAAAGGATATGTGATCTAGCGATTTTGAAAAGCAAAAACGAGAAAAATAATGTTAATAAAAGCACATGTGCTCTGATTAAATTGACAGAAAAATGCGTTTTATTACTATAAATATGCTATTATTTATTATTGTGATCTACAAAAATGAGAATTCATTAATATAAAACAACAATGAAATGCTTCGTACTTTTAAGATAAAAAATATTCGTTCAATTTCTTTAAGATAATTTCGAACAAATAAAAATCATACACACAATAATGTTTATAAAAGTATCTTCATGTTAAGAAAACAAGTGAGGTTATGACAGTTAATTGTAGAGTTTTCTTTTTGTGTTCTCTTCAATCCATAGCAATACATCAGACACATTTGAATAAATACTTGTCATATGTCAACAGCAGAATACTTTTTTTCAAGATTACATATAATAACTAAAAATATGTAACGATCTATAGAATCGAAACTTCTAGACATCTACATAATCTATATGTTGTGTGTTAGAAATGATTAGCTAAACTAGAGCACATAACATAAAATATAAATGTCTTCGGAAAAATGGCAAAAAGTTATATCATAACAACAGTACATCAGATTGATTAAAATACTCTTTTGACTGATAAGAGTGGGTAATGAGTTCTCACAAATCATTATGCTTGATTTGTAATCGAATTGGGCTAATATATAAGACGAAATCTCGCTCTTGAAGTTAAGAAATTCACTACTAAAAATGTTGAGCACGAGGTCGTACACTTTTATATATTTCAGAATGAAAATTGACTTGATAGATGACTTATACTGTGGTTTATTCTTTAGTCGCGTTAATATTGATAAAATTGTAGAACATAAAGTTTTGTTTTGGTATTTGCTGGTACTATATACCAATTTGAAATGTCATTGCCATGATCATCCTGCATAGACATATTGTTTTCGATTGAACCACTGATATCGTGATGTATTCTTTTCATTCCATTCGGTATTGAAAGATGAATATGAAAAACACTAGGTACACATAGCTGATAGTATGCATTTTGGAGAGTACGAGGGCAAGAAGTGAATTGCCGTGAAGTAGTAGTAGAAAGAAGAGTATGAGAATAACTTATAACTAAATAGTGCTGTTGTGAATAATGCCGGCTATTTGAGTTGTTACTAGTCAATATAATTGGTAGAAGCGTTCTAATGTTTATTCGAAAATTTCTGAAATTGATTTAACTCATGAGTATCGCCGTACCGCAAACAACTGTTAATAAGACGAGTTTGTTCTGAATTGATGATGCAGATGTCTTACATAATAATTCAAGTTTACTCATACCAAAACTGTACACGTGTTCTATTCAACTATTAAACATTCAAAAGCATACTATTAGTTCAAATATAATAATGACAGCATAGATACAATGTTATTTATAATACTTTAACATCGAAACAGTAACATTACAAAGATATTTATTAAATAATAAATATACTAGAGTGTTTGTAGTTTGTATTATCGTATGATGTATATTATAAAACCCTGATTTACTAAAATCATAATATAACGTAATTATCGACTGAATATCTTTTATTAATTTTACAACGTAAATCTCATTTAAATCGTACGTGTTCTTAGATCGTGATCTCGTCTTCCACATCGTTCAAGAGTTGTATAAACAATGATCTCTCAAAAATATACTTTTTCAGCAGTATCTATTTTCATTCTAGTTTTGTATTCGTTTCCCTATTAATTGAGTAAACATAATTTCTATTCGACACTAAGATATCAGATATTTTTTATGCATGAAAAAAGAGAAAATGGTATTTGTCACATCTAATGCAAAGTTTTTCTATTTCTATGTTCAACCTACCGGCAATTGTGAACGGTTAATCGCGTATCACGGCTAAAACTAATCTCGTATTTGTAGCACGCGTTAGTATTGTATCATCAAGAATGCTTTAGCTAGAAAAGTTTTTCATTATTTTTGGTATTTTAAATATTATCTATGAGTCAAGTGATATTCGAAGACAAATAAGCATCAATAAAAAAACAAAAGCTACTCAAATAAACATAAATTGAAAGGTTTTCTTTTATTGATCGGAGTGTGATGGAAGAAACTAGATTTTAATTGAATCTACTGACGAACTCAATAACTTTTTAGATTCAACTAGACTTCAATTAAAGTTATACTCAATTTAATATAAATATATAAGATCAGTTGTTTATTCTCATCTCACATGTATATTGAAGTTTATCAAGTCTACTAAACTTTCATAGAATATGTAAATGTCAATCAGCGTCTATCGTGGTTTACTACGATTCTGCATCGGGTGTCTGTCTGTCGCATTCTGAGTTGGCTGTATACTTGCGCATGACAAAGTATGATGCTGACATTTATTCTCGGCGGTAGCTAATTCTTAAGCTCGATTGTAAATATAGTGTACACAAATGTTTCTTAGATTTTTTTCGTTTCTTTTGGGACATCCTACACCAGAACTATTAACAGACATTAATAGAAATTGAATTACAATAGAAGCTTATTTTTTGTTTTTGTAAATAAGTTTACAATCGGTTTGCGTCATTCGGTATTCGTTCTTAAGATCTTCTTATTTCAATTGTTAAGAATAAATTTTGAAAATCGTTCTAGAAACTTTTGTATTAAACATAAAATATAATTTCTACAAGTCTTGATCATTCATAATGTAATGCAGAACGATCTTTTCCATTTTATTTAAATTGAATTTGTTTTCCAATCTCGAGTGTTTTATTCTCTTTGATGCAATGAAATGATCTAATTAGAAATTATATCTTTCATTGCATTCAATGAATAAAATCTAAAATGATCACATATAATTTCCGTTTTTTTTTTCTTTATTTTCATGCTGTAACTGAAGCACAAATAACAAAAAAAAAGATCATATAAAACTGAGCTCTGGTTTACGTGTTCCCATAAGACAAAGAAAAAAGGCTGACTGACAAAAAGATTTTTTTCTTTTTTATTAACACATAAAGACAAATAAAAAGAAAGATAACTATATGTTTGTGTAGGAGGTCCAAGAAGACAAAATAATAATGCTGAATAATAAAAACTAGATGGTTATATTATTTAACTTCGTGGTAAACCATGTTTTTTGACCAAAGCTAAAGCTTTTCGATCGAATTCAGCTTTATTTGATGTATATTCACTGGCAATTTCTATAATAAAGTAAATATATATATATATAGATAGATAGATAAGAAAACAAAACATACCAGCATTTAGTGCATGATCAATTTTAGGATTATCAATAAGTTCAACAACAGCTCTAACAACATCAACTAAAGGTGTTGTTGGTTTCCATGTTTCATTTGAATTAAGTAAATCAACACATATTTTACCTTGTTCATCAACATTTGGATGATAAATATTTGTAATAAAACGAACTTCAGGTGGTTTAAATGGAAATTCAGCTGGTAATTTTATTTCAATTTGATAAGCAGCTTGATTATAAATGTTTGATGTCGGTAAAATTCGTCCGAGAATAATATTTTGTGCTGAATTATTGGCACCTCCTCGAGATCCTCCCGATGGATCATCTACTGGTGATTTATCAAGAATAAATTTAACAGATGATGCATCATTACTTGTTGATAACGCTTTAAGTTTTGTTACTTCAGTTATTAAACGTTTATTTGCACTATTTGATGCCGACATGTTTATTTGATAAATGAACTATATAAATAATCTGAAACAAACGAAGAATTTCTTACTGATGATCGGCAATTTTCTAAATGCAACACAATATATTTTTTGTTATTAACTTTATAAATGCGTTGCTATGTGGATGATTGTATGTACATAAGCAACAAATGAAATAAAGAATTTTTTTCAAGAATAATGGTGTAATTGTTTGAGATACTTTTAATAAAGATTAGTAATATAGAAGTTAAATTGATTGATTAAATCCAGGTATAGTTGTTTTCTACATGAAATATGTTCGAAGTAATAGCCAGGTAGATTAGAAAAGAGAAAGAAACAAACTAGTAGACATACAAATAAAACGGGTATATATCAATAAAGAGAAAAAAAGAAATCTGACTGTTTATTTTTCTCTTCTGTCTCTGACTAATGACGATTGCTTTCAAAAAAAAAGTCCAATGAAAAATCGTCATGATTAACCAATAATAAACATAAAAACCAAACCTTAACAAAGTCGCCACATTCGTTTTATTTTATTTATTCCATTTGGCGTCGTCTAGATCATCATAAACATAAATAAACGTTAAATATTCAATAAAACTGTTATTCTTTTTCATTAAGATTAATAATGACTGATCAAGAAGATATTCGATTACAAACATTAACTAAATACAAGGAACTTAATGAACAATTACGTGAATTTCTTAAATATGTACTTCTATTTGAAAAATCTTCATCATTAAATGAACAAATTAATTCAAATATAAATGATAATGGTGGTATATCATTATTATCAGTAAAAAATGATTTACTTCTTCATTATTTAATTAATCTTGTTGCTGTTATGCATCGTCGTTCAACATCAAATCAATCATTAAATTCATCATCAACACGTTCAATTATATTACGTCTTTGTGAAATTCGTACATTTATTGAAAAAATTCGTCCTATTGAACAAAAATTACAATATCAAATGGATAAATTACTTAAAAATAATATTGATCAACAACTTAATTATCATCCTAATATTGAAAATTTTGATGAAGATATTAATGAAAATGAAGAAATACATCTTAATAATGATAATACACAACATGAAGAAGACAAACAAAAAACAAAAATTTATCGACCACCAAAACTTGTACCTGTTGAATATAATGATGATTTTGATGATAAAAATGAAAAAGGAACAATTAATAATAAACGTCTTGAATATCTTAAACGACGTGCTTATCATTCAGATATTTTAGACGATTATAAAAATAAATATTCCGATGCACCCGAAGAAATTTATAATAGTGAACGTAGTCGTTTATTACAACAAAATCGTACATATAAAGAAAAAATTGCTTATGAAGAAGAATATTTAAAACGTTTACCACAAACAAAACGTGAACGTTTACAATTACAACGATCAATGATGAATAATGATAATGATATTATGAATCATATACATGATGCTAATGTTTTATTTGATGATAATATAAATGGTTTAACAAAAAAGAAAAAAGGCAAAATGTCAAGACGAACTAAAAAACATATGGAAAAGAAAAAAACAAAATCAATAAAACGACTTAAATCAAGAAAATAAATTCTCGCTTTTATTTTGTTTTCTTTGTTGTTAAACGAAATGAATTTCATCATTTCATTATTTGTTTTCGGTTACAAAAATAAAAATCATAGAAAAGAAATTCTATGTATTGTTTTATGAACCTTACATAATGTCGAAGAAAATAGTGAGCGTGTAAGTTTCAATTGAGTGTTTTATGATTCTTCTGCCATTATAGGCTCTAGCGATCAGAACTGAGAGGAAGAAAGAGCAAAGATTAATTGGTAGATTTTCATAGTGTAGATTCTAACTAGTTTAAATATTGTGGGTTTTGATGTTTAATGCGGAGCAAGAATCTTATTATAGGTGTCAATCAATCGATCAGAGTTAGAATAGAGCAGACATAGAAAAGTATGAACTAATTTTAATTCTAAGTTTAATCAAAACTCAACATTATATGTTAAAGTTCGTCGAGAGAAAGGATGACGTACTCGGAAGCTTGCTAAACAATTAAATCAATGTGTATAGCAGACTAATGTGATGGTTGAATTGATGAAAGGGAGAATAAAATTAAATTTGTCGCTTTCTTTGTGGTATGTATCGTATATATTATCATTAAGAGAAAGAGAATTTATGTACGAAAGATGTATCTAACAATAGAAATAAGTATTTTCAATATAACGATGTTAAATGAATCTAATAAACTGATAGAATAGTAATTCTAAATGCAAATATTTTCAAAGTGATAAAATTTTAGAGCATGCATATCAATTATGAAAACTGTTATCATTTTGATTTATTTATTTGTTTGGCATATTTTTAAATAAATTATTTTAATCTCTCTGACAAGATACTATAAATTTATAACAGTCAAACTTTGTGAGTTCTACACTATGGCTTTTCCTAGAGCAGTACTAACAAGTTTTTCAAATAGAAGTTGTATATAATGTTATGTTATTTATACTAGAGACATACGAAGTCAGGCGTTGTTTTTTAGCGTCGCACGAACATGATAAAAAAATATCTAATGACGAACGTTGAGAGATTGAATTATACTTGTTGGTTTTCTTTTCGTAATAATTACTTTCGTGGAGTCTAATTTACAGTGGACAATTTCTATTGAGTACGTGAATGTGACTTATTTTCTGTAAAAAAAAAAAAGATTTTTTTTTTCATAGAAATACTAGTTACTTGTGCTTAAAAACAAGAATGATTAAAAAAAGTGAAATTTGAAAAACAGATCATGTACTATACAAAATTCCTGAAGCGGATCCTTACCCTAAATTCTTGTAAAGAAACGCTTTATTTGAAAAATGAACAAATAGTGCATCAATCAATGCCGTTTTACATGCTGATTCCAAATATATCTTGATTTTTCTCTCAAAGTGATTTTATAACAAGGAAAACCTTTTGGAAACTAAGGTTTTTAAAAAACCTGCATCTCAATCCAGAAGCATTTGTGCATTCTTGTACTAACTGAGTTTATGTGCCTGATATAGAAGAATATGCTAGTGGAAAAAAGTGGTGGCCAACTTTACTGAAGACATCTCTCTTCAGAAAATGTTAAGCGTAAAAAAGTATAATTTTTTCTTATAAAACAATAGAGCAGAATTCCTAGTTTCATACTATATATGATATATTATCTAATTCTTTTTATTTATCACAAAAAATTGATGTTTTTCTTTAAAGGTACTGAAGTGTAACTTTTCTTCCAACTAAGTATTTTCAATGAATTGAGCAGTTGAGATAAAACTGATCATTAATCAAAATGCATTAGTTACTATTCAAATCTCAAAAAAGATCATTTTCATTTTTTTACCTAGTACTTACGATATTTCCTCTGTGTAATACAAAATTCTACTTTATACATGTATTTATTAGTCGCTATGTCTTTCTAAGAATGAAGGTATGATCTAAAACTTTTTTGATTCAATAATTGATTTTATTTAATGAAATTCAGTACTAATGTTTTGTTTTTGCCTCTTTGAAAATATTCGTTTACATCAATAGATAATGAAATCGAAGGACAGCACGTTAGTTGTTTAGTATAACCTTGAAGATCATTAGAATATTCAGATTGCTCTCACGAGGATATTGTTCCAAGTGATAAAAAGTGTTTGAAATAAGAATTTCTTCATCAGATAAGGTAAATCATTAAAAAAAAATGAAATATTTAAATTTTGATTTAAACATCTCGCTTATGTATATCTCTCATGAGAGAGATCCATCAACTGATACTACTTGCATTATGTAGAACTAAATGAGCTATGAATATCATGAAAAAAAGTTCGTGCTTTTTTGCAATATCTATACAGCAACAATCTATCCTTCTAAACTGGTTTCATAGTATACATAGTTCATTCGATTGTACATAATGGATATAGTTTCCACTCAATAGCAATTAATCAGTTGAGGGATTTCCCTTGCGAGAGCTATAAATGAGCGAGATTTTGGATCGAAATTCCAACATTTTATTTTATTTTTTGTAACAATATATCTTATTTAATGAAGAAAGTCTCATTTCAAAAGCTGTTACTTACTTGGAACGATTATCTCGCTATTAATTTCAGTAAAGATATGATCTAGTTAATTTGTACAGCGTTTCAATTTAATAACTATTAATGATTTACTTATAATTGACTTTATTTTTTATCAGAATTCGTACTAGTTAAACTGATGGCATCATCATCTTGAGATTTTTTCATTACTTTTTGTGACATACTATCTATTGTCTTTTTGTCATCATCGTCTTTATTTTCTAATGAGACAGTTTTTTGTTTAATAATATTTGTTTCTTGTTGTTTTTTTGAAGAACGATAATCACATGCTGATATGCATATAGTAAGAATAATTAAACAAATAAGAATAATAAATATAATAGCTGGATAACAATACCATGGGCATACAAAAGATTTATTTGTCGATATTTCTATATTATTATCAACATTTCGTATAGGCAATGAAACTATAGATTTAAATAGTATGAAAAGAAAAATTCTTTCATAATTTACTATTAACATGAATAATAATTGCAATTTTGCGCTCATTCATTTTTGTTCAATATTTAAATTGCGAACATATGTTTGTTTTTAATAATTTATTCTTCTACATAAATTTTTTCTTTTTGTCTTCAGCTTATAATAATCAATTTAGTTTTTATTATTGATTATGTTTATTATTATTTATTAGATGCATAGTTTCCGACATCACTACCATTATCTCAGGTTATTTTCAATAGACTTATACAGTAATAATAAACAATAGAAATCTCTCGATTAATATACTCTTATTTATATAATTCATAAAAGACTAATAGCAAAAAAAGATAATATAGTCAGTTCAACTTCGTGGTAAACAATTCTTTTTAAATGTTTCTGTTGCAATACGTTCATATTCCTTTTTATTAGTGCTAAATAAACTAGCCGCCTCTATAAAAAGAAAAGATTAAAATGTATACATAGAAAGAAATATTAAATAAATAATACCTACCAGGATATTTAATATGATCTGCGCTAGGTTCATCGATAATTTTGGTTACTTCTTCAATAATTGAAATAAAACTTGTTGTTGGTGTCCATGAAGTAACATTACTCAAGAGGTCAAGACATATTTCGCCTAAAGAAAAATAAATAAACAATTTCAAGATAGAATAGTATTTGCAAAGAAAATATTATTTACCATTTCGATCAACATTAGGGTGAAATATTGTGCTTCTTATTAATACTTTTGGTGCCTTAAATGGATATTCTGGTCCTATTATCAGTTGAATTCGAATAGAGCCGTCTTTGTAAATTTCAGAATTCGGCAGTAGTCGGCCAGTAACAGTCCAATCTCCTGATGGTGGTGATTCATCGCCGTCATCGAAGGGTGTTGATTCAAGAATAAATTTAGTTTTTGCGTTACTTGTTGGTCCAACATTTTTAAGCTGAGCAGCTAAAGAGTAAGCTCGTTTTACGCGTAGATTTGAGTCGATTTTGCTCATTTCCAGTGTATAATGATTTGTATTTTATAGTGCTTGTTTTTCTTCTCACTAAAAAGACTGAATAAAAGAGGCAAATAGTACAAGTAAAGGGTGGCTTGTTTTTCTGTCGTCAACTAGGAAGAAGCAGAACAGAAAAAAAAAACAAATTGCGTATTTTCAAAAACATAAGTTGAAAGATTTCTTTTTCCTATAACAGCAATATTTGTAAAAATCATGTTTTATTGCATTCAAAAACAACAGAAAAAGTCAATAAATGTGTATGAGTCATATTTTTATTGTCAGGAAAATAAAAGAAGATTACACCTAAGAGATTGTTGTAGAAAGATAAATTTTTTTCATGTTATCAGCAACAAATATTGTTTTTCTTTTTGGTATGATAATTGATATACAGTTTTTCAACGTTTCTATATTCAAAATAGTAGATTCATGTTTAGCAGTATCAAAAAGCACAGCATTGTTCTCGAACCCTTGAGAACGAGATTATCTTTACGAAAAAAATTAGCCATTACCTAGGTTTTCACGTAAACCCACGACTATTGAAGATATACTAAAGATGTCAGTACCATATAACATTAAAAGTTACTAGACATGAAAATATTCATCATTTATTTGTTCCAATATGTCTAATCTGCTAAAATAGATTCCAGTTTTGACAACGATCATTTCTGAGAAGCTGAGCATTTTTTAGAAAAAAAATTTGTAAAAAAGTTAGAATTATCAGAAAAAAAAAACATATTCGAACATTTAACTCTCATTAATTAAATGAGAACTGCATAGATTGACTAAAATAGCATTTGTAATTTTATGATTCATTCTTTTTTTTTAATTAAAATAATATCAATAAAATGAAATTATGAAATCTTAATTTATCAGTATGAAAGACATTATTTACATTCAGGATTATTTTAAGAAAATTTCATTGATACATGAGACAACAACAGCAAGTCTGTAGAATCTTCAGTTGCGTGGCAAAGCATGTTTTTTGACAAATTCTAATGCTTTACGGTTAAATTCAGGCCGATTTTCCATATATTCACGACCCAGTTCTAAAAAAAAGGATGAAAATAAACAAAACAAAGTTTAAGAAAGTGCTCACGAAAACTAAATGAATAATCAATATTAGGCTTGTCGATATTTTGTGAAATAGCCTTAACAACATCAACTAAAGGCGTTGTATTTGTCCATTTGGCTTCCTTTTTTAACAACTCGTTGCAAAATTTGCCTAGAAAAAATGATAAGCATTAATGTCAGCTTTTTTTTCTTTTTTTTCTTCTTCTTACCATCTTTATCAACATTTGGATGATAAATTGGAGTAAGAAAACGTACTTCTGGTGGGTCAAATGGAAAATTTTGCGTTATTTTCATTTCAATTTGAAATGCACCTTCTCTAAATATGTCGGATTCCGGGAAAATTCGTCCAATAATCAAGATTTCTGCTGAAGCTGCGGAAGCAGCTGAATTTTGTTCATCATCATCTCCCTTAAATGGTGATTCATCAAGTACAAACTTAGGATCTGTAGTTGTATTTAATAATTTTAAAAGAGTTATATTCTTGTATAGTTCCTTGTTTAATTTTGATGTAGCCATTTGTTTTTCAATCTGAAAGATTCTAATAACTCAGTAATAATGTAATGTTTCAAATAGAAAGAAGAGTTCTCTTATAGATGCAATAGACGAGAAAAAAATTGTGTCGGTTTTGTCTTAATAAGCATGTTTTTTTTTCATGCTTTATAATCGTTACGTGAGAATGTGAGAAAAGAAAATGAAGACACACGACCAATATGCAATGATGACTGTATACAGCCTGTATTCCGTTTCGTTCTTGACAGAAGCGGTTAAAAAAAGAAACATCAATGACGACAAACATAAAAGTAGGACAAATAACCATCTTGATTTTTAATACTAAAAAAGATGTTGATATTTTTTTTTAGAGAGCAAATCGTTTGCCAGTATCATTTTACTATAACAAGAAGAAAAATTTTTATATACATACCACTACTTATGTCAAATAGTAATGCGTTGAAAACAGTACATGAAAAAAAAACTGCTTTTCTAAAATCTATGTTACTTGTAATGTAACTCTTTTCATTCTCTCAAGAAAAAATGACGATAAAGAACGTGTGCCACCAATTTTTGCATTCTTATTTGTATTGGAATATTCCAACTTAAAAAAGTATTCTTGTTTATTTTCTTTATGAGTCAAACATATTCTACAAATGAAATTCGTCATAGAAGAAACTATTATTTAGTGTAGTTTCGAGAGTATTGCGTAATTTTGTTTCGATATTATTATACTTGTAATAGTATCAATGTGCTTTAAACTTTTCGTCGTATGTACTCATGAACTAATTTTCATTACAAAAGAAATAAATGAATCGAGGAAGAAATGCTTTGAAAAGTATAAGAACAGTACGCTTTGTGTCTTGTAAATTTCTGGTGAATTTTTATTCGTGCAGAAAATAGACAAAATAACCGAAGACTTTTCAAACTTATTCATTCCTACGATTAGGAAAAAAAAAACAATTTCATTCATGAAATTTATTAAAAAAAGATTCCTATTTCATATGAATTATCACTTTAACTAATTCAGTTTTTCGAAATACAAAATAATCACAATCACATTTATCATACATGAATGTTCGTCAGGTCAATCATAGTCGGTCGTACATGAAAAGTCTATTTAGAACTTCTAAGAAGCAAACTCGTACTTTGCAGAGACTAAAACTTTTCTCTGCATATTTCGAAGACTGTAGCCATGTTGTACTTCTTTTTTATTGATCGTCCACGATATGCAGTGCTGAAGGATAAAATTTCTTATTCTCTTCATTATTTGTTTGTTTGATTTTACAGTGAGTCAGTTGTATATTCATTTTTAGCGTCATCAATAAGCATTCAATTTTTATTGAACCTCCTGGGGACGGGATTATCTCTATTAAGAAATAAACTATTCTGTAGTTCTGCTCGAAAAAAACCAAGATGATTGAAGGTATACTAAACATGTTCGTACCATACGACAGTGAAAGTTAATCAGCATGAAGATATTCATCATTTGTCTGTTCTACGTAGTATTATTTGTAAAATCTTCAGTTCTCATCGTTGTTTAATATAATCTTCCAAAATGCAATCCAGTTTTGATAAGAATGATTTCTGAAAAGTTGAGCATTTGTTGAAAGAGAAAATTATCAAAAGTTAGAATTAATAAAAAAAAGGTTATGTCACAAAATTGTATTGTTTGAAATTGTTTTCAGCTCAGAAAAGTTTTCAATAAATCGATCTTAAATCGAATTTTGCAGAACATAAATCAGATCTTTTGTGGTGTTCTCTTTTTTTTATCTATTCATTAACAATATCGAAATAGAAGTATTTTATTGAAAACATTTAACCACACCAAAATACTTTATCATTATTTCGATCATCAATATAATGAACTATGGTACTAATAATTGCAATCAAAACATTTATTGAATTTTAAGTTTCTATTGTTCGTCACGAAGAAGACCATACTTAATATATATAAATAAATAAAAGAAAATCTATACGAAAAAAGGAACCGAATTTACATGAACATAAATTTGAAGTCTATTTTTTTATTTATACAAAAAATAAAAGTTTCCATTCATGTTCCTTCGAGTCTACTATTTCACTGTTGAATTTGTGTAAGAATTTGAACTCCAAATGATTGATTTTGTTTATTTTGAACAATAAATTTCAAATGAAAAGCTCTTTTATCGATTATCAAATTTTTGTGAATTCCAAAGTTCCTTTTTTTTGTTTTCTTTATCTCAATATATACACATTTACTCATTTAGTTGATCCATAGATTGAAAATTTTCTTTTAAGACAACAAAAAAAATAAAAATTCTAACAATAACACCAAAGTAATGACCCTAGTCGAACTTTATTTTTTACATGTGCTTGGCATGCACAAACTGCAAGATTTGTTCATATCACACAACTTTGTTTCAATTGATAAGAAAATAAATGCCTGCATGGGTTATATGCACATTGAAAATAGTTCATACGCTAACCATCTGAAAATCATATGAATACGCACACTTGAAACAATCCATTGGAACAAAATAATATAAGTTTTTCTGTTCAAAATGAAAAAATACTCCTTGCCATTGTGGATGTATGGATCTACTTACTCGTATAGATTCTCTTTTTGACCTGTCTGTTACAGACTTTGTTATTTAAGCTATGAATTTTTATTATATGTCAAATCGTTTTAAATGTTAAACTGAAGAAAAAAAATGAGAAACACGTATAGAGTATGATTAAACTTAGTTTCACACATCATAGATATTGTTTTCATACTTGTGAGAAATGACCGAATCCAATGGAGTATTACTATTGCTAGCTCGCAACACGGACAGATTTTTGCTGTTAATATGTGTAGTTCGTAATGTTTTTTATTAATTATTTCGTTTGTAATTATCCGTACACATGCGTGAACAAGAAGTTTAAGCACCTGAACTCGATAAAAGTATTGCCGCAAGATATGCCCCTATCACATGACTTTTTTGCTCAAAATACATAAGAACTTCATGAACATGAAAAAAAAAAGTTCGACTAGAGGAACTATTGGAAGTAGTCATTGCTTAAAATGTGTATAGAAGGAAATTTGTTATTTATAAAATAATGCACACACGAGTCTATTTATTTATATGCATTATGATTGAATGTTTTCGACCCACAACTTGTGTGCTATGAGAGAAAAACTTTCCAATGTGTTATTTTAAATAAATTCAAAGATATATGATTTATAGTGAAAGTACTTTACAAGAGTTCCCAATAAGATTTGTCTATTGGATTAATACTAGCTGAATTAATAAAAACAATATTTCTTATTGAGTTCAATGAGAGTATTGTTCATTTCAGAGTTGAATGGACAGGAACACTTCTCGTACAACTTTTGATCGGCTAATGTTATCGAGCTCGAAGTTTCCGCATTGTAAAGAGCGAGTTTTGAAGCAACTATCTGTATAACACTCGTAGGATCAAAGACGTTGTTCATGACTGTTTGTACACCGATATATTTTTCATTTTCTCTTTTCATAAATTTTCATGATATGAAAGTTCTATTATGTATAGTAAGGTAATTCGGATTACAATGTGGTACAATTTGAGATCAATTTATCATGAAAATTTATGGCAAAAGAGAATGAAAAACATATTGATGTAAAAACAATCAGGAAAAATATTTTTCACCCAAACGAATGTTATACAGATAGACATGTTCGAGCTCGACAACATTAGCCAATCAAAACTTGTTCGAAAATGTTCGCGTGCATATAACTCTGAAATCTACAATAGTTAAAGACAATACTTAGTATGTTTATTCGTAGAAAAAAAAAATTCATCCAAATATTGAATTTTTTTATTACAGGTTAATCTATAGTTCATTCGAAAGAATCGAATCTTTTTTTCAATGATTGCATTTATATAGGAAGAATTTCTTCTATTTTCAATAAATTTACACATGAAAGAAATCGTTTAAAAATTATTAATCGATTGACATCTGATTCGAAACTTTCTTGTATAAGTCAATCAGTTCTCAAAAATAAAAGGACGATCTTGCGGAAAGAAATTAACAGAGTCAGGTCTCACCATTTCTATCAAGGAACATAATTAAGTAAAACAATAATAATTATCTTATAATAGATTTGTGTCTTTTCTTTTTTTAATAACAGAAGAGAAGCAAAGTGAAGCAGACTTTTCACGTCTTAAATATCTTAATGTTGGCTTTTCAACTAAGAATGTAACAGAATATCCATGTATTGTAAATTATATTATTATTAAAGTCAAAACAACACCAAAACCAAAATGTACTCCATGATGTACTATTACATGAATTAAACAATGATATTTTCTTGCAATCACGAGAAGATGCTTTTGCTATCAACGACAACTATATGAAATCTTGAAGTATTGAGTAAATCCAGAATATTTTAAAGTGATATAGTAAAAAAATCGGAAAAGAAACTTAATTATCATATGTTCATTAGAGTTTGCCTAGAACTACTTTGCAAATTATAATCAGCAGTACAAACTAAACATTGTCAGTCTAAAACACATGTTTACAGAAACTTGTCTCATGCAAGAAATATCTCATTCAATTCTAAACTAAATTTTAGAATTTTTCGATACTTAACATTATGTTAGCGATATTAAAGTACGAACGAAACTTCATGCTACTTGTTGTATTGAATTCTAGTCATAAAACTTCGAACTTTCTCAAAGATGTTTTCAGAAATATTCCAACATTTAATCCTTATTAATTAATGGTTTTCCATAGACTGACCAAGACACCATTTATAATTTTGTGATTCATCAATTTTTTGATTAAAATAATATAACTAAAATAAAATCATAAAATCTCAATCTATGAGTTTGGAAGATACTATGTTTATGATATTCGATTAAATTTTTTGTTACATATTAAGATATATCATAAAAATGAATGACGAACACCTTGATGAAGAAGAAAAGTTTAGTTCGTTGGAAAAACAAGTCTCTAAAATCAGTTGCGTGACAAAGCATGTTTTCGGACATGTTCCAATGCTTTACGGTTGAATTCAGGTCGA